ATCCGAACTGGATCAGAGATCAAAACACCAGACCTGCAGGAACGAAGAAGAGATGACCGAGACTGCAAACCACAAAGAGCAGCTGATTTCAGTCCCAACCCGAGACCCCACTTTCTCCTTCAGGACGATCGGACTTATTTGGCGGCATAATAGGACCCTCATACGTCTCAATGATAAGCAAAGAACATCATACGGCCCCGGTCCCATGGATACAAGATTGACAGCTCCAGAAGCACGAAACAGAATCCAAACAAAAACGATGAAGCAGAGACCCAGAAAATACAACGAGACAGCTACAGAAAAACCAATAACATTACCATGCTACTGAAAGAATCATAACTCTGCCAAACCTCGCAATCAACCACCTCTAAAAATGATAGACTCCGGACTTCGAATAAAATCTTGAGCGTAAGGGATCAACACCGGCCATAAGTAATTAGCCCAAACCCCTATCTGAATCAAGGCAGTATTAAATATCTGGTCAACCGACCAAGAACACCCATTAAACCTTAATGAATTTCTGTACAACCATATTCTCCAAATCAGGCCAAAGAAACCAAGACACCATAAATTCCGAAGTTTCATGCTAACGCTCTGAGAGAACCATACCTCTAATAACTCTTTAACATTCGTAGGAAAAATGATGTTCAGTTTCCACAAGCTACACCAACACTGCCAAACTTGCCATACAACATCTCAATGACACATCTCAATTCTGCCCACCTTCTAACTCTCTCTTCTTCCACATTGATCACGAAAATCTTAGTCTTCTTCATATTAAGCTTCAAACCGGCCGCCACTTCAAAAACTTTGAGGACACGATAGATATTTTTAATCAGCAGTTCTTTAGCTTCCGAAAACATAAGAAGGTCGTCAACAAGTTGGATATGGGACATCACAACACTACTAGACCCTATTCCAATCCCGTCACATAAACCTATCTCAAACGCTTTCTTAAGCATGCCGCTAAGAGCCTCACCCATAATATTAAAAAGAAAAGGCGACAATGGACAACCTTGTCTAAGACCTCTCTTAATAGAAAAATAATTGGATGGAAATCCGTTTACTAGCACTGCGATCGAAGGGGTCAAGATACAAAAAAGTACCCATTTCCTCCATCTTTTGCCGAAGCCCATTCTCTTCAAAATCAAATTCCGAAATTTCCAGTCTACTGTGTCGTAAGCTTTGCAAAAATCCGCCTTGAATAAAATAGCTTATTGGAGTTGAATTTTTTTAATTTAACTCAACTTTTAAATTACTCATATTTTAATCAGTCTAAAATGATATAACTTATTTTATTAATATTTTCTTGGAATCATTTATCAGAATCACATCTGTTTTGTTAGCAATAAATTACATGGATGTTTGAGATCAGGAAAAAAAAATCAAGTTGGGGCCAAATTGTAAAAAACAAAAGTATAAAGATTAAAATTGTAATTTTACGGAAAAATGGGATTAAGAGTGAACCATGGACACACAAATGAATAATAATTGTTACAAATAAAATAATAATTTACATCTCAGCAACTCAAACACTCTATTTTTACCCGATTAAGAACTTTTTGACTAAGAATTATTATTTTATTTTATTATCATAGGTAATGATACGTGTCAGTATCTAATTGGTTGAATAAAATTAATTAAAAATAATTAAGAAAATAAAATGTGATATGAAAATTAAAAAGATAAAAAAAATTAACATGATATGTCACATCAACGTTGTTGTTAAGTTGAAATATCAAATTAAAATTTAAACTAAACATTAATATAATTTAAAAAAATAAAGTTTAAATACAAAAATAAAACAAAAGTAATATCAAATGAAAATTTAAACTAAACATTAATATAATTTTAAAAAAAAATAAAGTTTAAATACAAAAATAAAACAAAAGTAATAATTTAGATATTGAATGTATATCTTCGGTCCCGTCTAGACATTACTGCTGCGGAATTCCAACGAGAACAACCACCATCTTGCTAAAACTCTGCTACACAGTTGGTCTAATACTATTTGAATTGAATGCTTTCAATTCTTAAGATTTTGGTTGAACATTCTGATCATTTAAAGTGCTCTCAACATTTGAAGAATTTGATTGACCGTTCTCAATATCTGAAGATGTACGTTGAATGCTTCCGACATTACTCGAGATTTCAAAGTATCTCTCACCAATTTCCTGAAGGTTACAAAGGGAAAAGAAAAAACCGGAAACAAAGGGGATGGAGAAGGCAAAGGAGCAAGCCATAATGCGGGGATCGTACATATGAAGTATATGATCTTGAAACGAAAGAATCACCACCTTATGCACAACATAGTAAAGCAGCCATCCCGACAACGGCACCAACATCCAACATACGATGCATGCCGGAGCTGTTAACCAAATCGACAATCTAATTTCTCGTGTCCCAGAAAAACCAGGATCCACACTGTTATTTAACTTGTTAAAAAGCGTGTAATTAAAAGCATACCCAAGTGAGCGCAAGCCCGCTAGAAGGATCGCCAAAACATCAACCACGACGAATAGGATATAAATCACTATTTCGGAAATCAACAGCAAAATTCGGAACCTCTTGTGATAATCTCGCAGATCTGATTCGAAATTTAATAAAAAAAGATACGAAAATGCACCAAAACCTCCGCTTGCTATAAGGAATGTAATAATCCAACCCCGATCATAAGTTTTCTCAAACACCTTTTTTATTTCAGTGGACCTGGAAAAAAGAGTGTAAATACAATATCAAACGCTTCAAATATTTTATATAAAAACAATTATGTATAAAGTAAAGTAAATCAAAACAAGGAAACCATACCTTCTAGTGATGGAAACAAACCAAGTCATGATCGGTAAAGAGGAGAAGACTTCTTTGTTTTGAAATAAAGAAAGAAGGCAAATATGAGAACAAAGAAGAAACAGATACGAAGATAATGAGAAGAATACGTATTTATAAAGATAAAAAGTCGATACTATATAAAACTCCACTCCTAATTAACATTCACAAATATAAAAAATATTTATAACACTACTTGAACATCCAATAAAATAAAAACTGTTTAAGTTTTTTTTTAATTCATTATTTATAATTCAAATTATAGAATTTGACTGTGACTAGTTTGTTTTTCACTTTAATATAGTTCTATGCGTCATTTAAATCAACCAATGAACCTTAAAAGTCTCAATTTTAAGCTGAAGATAAAAGGGCTTTAAGGAATTTTCTTTTAGTTATTTTTAGGCCTTTTAAATCAGGAAATTAATATATTGGATAACTATTTTTTAGGAATAGTTTATTTTTGTCACGTGGACAAGTTTATTTGGAATTGTCTTTCACTAGTTAAATTTGTGTAATTCTTGATAGTTGATATCTTTGTATTTTTCATGCTGCACCTGTTAGTTAATAGAAGAGAGGAAGCATGGTTTATTCAATACGCTTACAACGTAATCATGTTTAACTAAGTCTTTCTTGTATGCCCTTACCCACATGTTGTCGTTTATTTTCTTTGAAATATAGTCTTCTAAACTGAGACTACAATATTTCTAAAGATAACATCTATATATGCCATTTTGGTATATTTGTAGACTCATATGCTATCAAAAATCAAAACAGATATTTTGAGTAATAGAAAGAGGAAGCATGGTTTATCCAATACGTTTACAACGAAATCATGATTAACTAAGTCTTCCTTGTCTGCCCTTAGCCACTTGTTGTCGTTTATTTTCTTTGAAATATAGTCTTCTGAACTGAGACTGCAATATTGCTAAAGATAACAACTATATATGCCATTTTGGTATATTTTCAGACTGCTATGCAATCAAAAATCAAAACGGATCTTTTGAGTAATAGAAGAGAGGAAACATGGTTTATCCAATACACTTACAATAGAATCATGTTTAACTAAGTCTTTCTTGTCTGCCCTTAGCCACTTGTTGTTGTTTATTTTCTTTGAAATATAGTCTTCTGAATTGAGACTGCAATATTACTAAAGATAACAACTATATATGCAATTTTGGTATATTTGCAGACTGCTATATATGCCATTGGGTGTTGTGTTAGTAATCTAAGCTAGGAATTATCTTTTTAGTACGTTAAACGACCTGATAGACTTGTTCACAATTATGTTTTCTTCGGTCCTTTTGTTTTTCTAATTTCTAGTTCTTAAATTTATATGAATGATGACTGTAATTGTATATGTTCTTTCAGTGTTGTGTCTTGATCTAGTTGTTGTAGCAATTGTTACAACAACTTGTGGCAATGTAATCCGATGCTTTTTAATAATAAATTATTTTTTCCCAACAAGAAATGTGAGGTCGGGGTGTGCATCCGCTATACCCCACGATCTCTAACCTTGGCTTGGGATACTCTATTGTGGCAATAATCCTAAGGCTCATGTGGCTATTTCTTGGACAGATCATCGAGGATTGAGGCTGACTTGACTTGGGAAGAGTCCCTCCGCACGGATTGCAAACCTAGTTGAAAAGGTAAGTCCGTGACACTTTGGTCGTGCATCCCTGCCGAGCACAAGCTATCGTGCCCGACACTTTGGCGCCAATCTATTCTACGACACCATGAGCCCGCCCTAACCTGTGTAATACACTAACATCATTACCGTCTCATATCTACACTCATATGCTGCTGTTTTACTTTAACCCAAAACTTTAAACTTTAAACTTTAAATTTATGCATAAAATCCTTAAACCTTAAATCGTACCTCACAACCATCATGCCCGATGTGATGAGGCTAGGGTTAAAACAGTGGCGGTGCGGCCGCTGAGGGTGAAGATGAAGGTATGAGGTTTATAGATTGAGGATTACGGTTTATAGATTAGGGATTAGAATTAATGTATAAAAAATAATTATTTTATTTTAAATTCTACATGGATAAAATATTAATAAAATATGTTATATCATCATAAAACGATTAAGCTAAGAGCAGTTTAAAAGTTGAGTAATGAACGATGTAATTTATCCTAAACTTAATTGAGACCTTTCAACTTAAAATTAGGTCGATGACTCTGTATCCGTGACACCTGTCCTAGGAGTCGGAAATGATATATAGATATACCTATTTCTAGGTGGAACCTTGTATCTTTTATAGCGAGGTGATTGTTAATCTTGGTTTTGATTTATTTTATTCCAAGAATTGCCCAATGTATTAGGATCATGGTTCTATGAGAATTCATGTATTTTTGTTTAGCTGGCTAGAATTCATTAACTGGTTATAAAACAATGGGAATATCACTTTGGAATATCACTCATTTAGTTGGGATTCATTTGTTAATCAGACTTCAGATTACATACATTGCATTAGATACTAGATAGTTATTTTCTATTGCGAAGCAAATTGTTAGTTGTGGGTGAAAATGTTTCTTATGATTTAAAATATGTGGTTTGAGTACTTGAGTCTACGTGCTTCTAATGGTCACATTATCTTTCTCTGTTGTTCAGATTTGCTACATTATTGCACCAGTGCCTGAATTCTATCAAAAAGGGGTCCAGCAAAGAGATATCTTTAGCTTCCCATGTTATTGGTTAGTTTTGAAAGCTTTTGCAAATTCTAATGCATACATGCATGGAGGAGACCACAAGGCTCAAGTATCCAAGCTTATAAATTTCTTTTTGTAGGTTTGCTGGCTTTAACTGTTGGTTCTGGAGATAATGCACGGGAAATATTGGAGGAGTCGATAACGCCTATTTCACAGGCTTCTAAATCTGGTTCTGAATCCTCTAAGATAACTTCGGTATGCAAGAAGTTCAATTGAAATTTGTTCTACCTCTAGTATTTTGTCGGTACTACAATGCTTAACCTGTTTCATATTACCTGGTTTCCTGTTATAGTTATTGGAGTGCTTGGCTATCATCACTTTTGTTGGGGGGATCGATCCAGAGGAAACAGAAAAATCAATGCAAATTATGTGGCAATCTGTTCATCCTAAACTAGGCTATAATGTAAGTATCCTGATTTTCAGTAATTGAAAAATCCAATAGTGTCTTGAGATTCACTGAATCAGTTATTGCTTCTATCTTGTCAATTTTACAGCACGATTATGTGGTTATGCTTCATTGTTTGCTTTATTTCAGAATTAATTGTTTCTGCTTGACTTGTAGGTTGTCACTGTCAAACCCTCTGCTGTTGTAATAACAGCAGCTGTATCTGCCTGGTCGTTTCTTTTGACAACTATGGATGGATGGAGACTCAGTCCCAAACTTTGGCAAGAGTGAGTGAACTCTATGGGTCATACATTGTTCTTTTTTTATTTGGGTGGTCTCAAATTCTTTTCGTATTTATCATGGTTATAAACCTACTGTTGGTTAGGTTTAAATATCAGAATAGTAGGTTAAAAAACCTTGTGAGACTTTGATGCTTCCCCAATATAATGGGCTGAGACTGATCAATCGTGGAAAAATATGCAGATCCATAGCATATTTGTCCACTTTGCTAGATAAGGATGACCGGTCTGTGCGTATTGCTGCTGGAGAAGCACTGGCAGTAATATTTGAGATGGGAAGCTTAGAGAAGTTTGCTGCTGAAGCCAAAGGATCAAATAATGGCTCAATATCTGAAGGAAATAAATCTAAAGAAGGATTCTTACACATACAAGGACTGAGGGGGAAAATTCTGAATCAAATCCGAGACCTCTCTGTGGAAGCTGGTGGTAAAGGTTCTGCCAAGAAAGATCTTAACAACCAGAGGAATTTGTTTAAGGATGTTTTGGAGTTCCTTGAGGTACTAATATTGTTGTCTTTCATGTTCATGACTTGCAATTCTTGGACATCTCATGTTAACTTTTATCATCTTGGTGATGTTAGGACGGTTATTGTCCCGAGACATCAATGAAGATAGGCGGGGATTCATTGCGGACATCAACATGGTCGCCGTTGATTCAGGTTTCTCTTTTTCCTTCCAGTTCTTTGGTTCCTCACGTTAGTTAAATGCCATGAATTCTTTCTTATATTGTATAAAACTTCAATGCTACAGTTAAACTTTTTGAGGCACTTTCTTTGTGGAGGTTTCACTAAACACATGCAGGTCAGTCTTCTTTTAGTGAAGTTGACCCTTCTTGCTGCAGTTTGCTTGTATTTTATTTTCCGGTTGATTAAGCTAGACATATTTTGTTTCACCATGTGCAGGAAAACGTGTTCCTTCAAGATGTTTTTGGTTTTACTCCAAAAAGGAGGAATCTTCTAGGCAGTGAACATATATCCAACTGTCAAAAGGTTGGTTAGCTCGACCGGAATATTTATGTAACCATGTTAAGTGTTTTGTCTTCGATGATATTTTGATTATAGGTGTAAGATTTAGGTCTATAATTCATTAGGCCATTACTGAGGCGTGAACTGCTATAATAGTTTTACAATGGTCTGTTGATTATAATTATTTATATTCTAGGTTGATGTCTTACCTGAAGATAATATATAGATTTATTGGGATTGTGTTACAGAGAGTGTTGAAATCACCAAACTCGGTCATCAGCAAAACAAGAACCCAGATCTTGAACAAGCAGAGGATGCAATCTAAGGTAGGCACTTTCAGTGTCTTTCATGGGACGTAGATATAGTGTTCCGCAATCAAATCGCCTGGTTAATGTTTTTCCCCCCTTGATCTATCCAGGATAGACGCTTTGGGCACTTTGCTGTCAATGTTGGTGAAGAAGATGAATAATCTTCTACAGGACGAGGGCTCTGATTTATTGAAATTCAAAAAGGATAGGGCAGGAACCATTTTGGTTAAAATTTTCTATTATTGTGCAACCTTGATCGAGTGTGTACGAGGCATGAGAAGCTATTTGAGTTGGGAATGGCATATAATGAATAAGAAGCAGCCAATCCTGCACGATCACTTCTGTAATAATCTAATGATGTATCTCTCAAGTTATGAATATGACTCGGATCGTTTTATAGATATTTACACTAAGCCAACATAAAATTAAGGTTTAATATGCTTTCCAGTGTCTGAAGAATTCTTTGTTAGTTTTTTTACAAAAAATAGAAAATGCAAAAGGAAGTAAAGACTCTTCATCTTGCATCCTTATTAAGATAAAACAATATAAATAAATAAATAAAATTTTATCTTTTTTACACAAAACTCAATATAAAAAATATATATAAAAAATATAAACAAGATAGAGATTGCATCCCTATCTTCATATTACGGTAAAGGAAAATATTTTTCTGGTGTTAATTTTAATATATTATTATTATTACTAAATTAAATTTGAGATTAAATTCGATTAGCTTGGAATGAAAAGGAATTAAGATTAATTTTTAATAAAGGACTAAATTGTGAACTACAACTAAATTGTGAACTACAAAAAAGTTGAGGACTATTTAGAATTGTTATGAAAGATTCTATAATGCATGACAATTTAGCCATTTTGTTATGGTTAATTAGTCACCATGTGATGTGTCTCAATATCATAATTTTTAGGCTATTATTTTTTTAGAATAATAGGTTAATTTATACCAAATTTCGGAGGACAATTTACTAAAAGGAGAGAGGTAAGGAAAAGAAACAGAGAGCAGCTGCCAAGAAGGCTGCTGGGGGAGATGGTGATAAGGATGAGGATGACGAGTAAACCTTAAGGCCATTATCCCGCATCTAGGAACCCCCAAAAAGCCTCTGTTTGAAACTTGCCATCACCGCCTTACTAGACATGGTTTAAGTTTTGTCTCCAGATCTCTACTGCAGTGGATTCTGGTATTTTGCTTTAAGTATTCTGTTTTGTTTTTCAAAAAAAATAAAAAATGGAAGGTGTTCTTATAATCTTTATGATGGGAAGAGATCGATTTGGGAATTGTTCAAATTAAGGAGCTTATAAGCTGGAATTATGGTGAGTTATGATTTTGCATGTGTGTCTGTTTGCTAGCCAACTTCCTGCCAATATTTCCTTATGGAGTTTGACAACATTACTGAGGAAATGCATGTGTCAGTTGTGGAACACTGTGATACTAAAATGCATCCTAGAATTGTATATGGATGCATCACTGGAATCTTTGTAAACATTTTTTTTACTTGTTGAAATCATTCCTAGAATTCCTATGTTAAATTATGGAAATTGTTAATCGTGTTATTTCAGTTAGAAATAAAATTCGTATCATTCAAAATCATCTTTTACATAATTACAGGCTGCCTTGAAAAGTTGAAATGCTTATAAGTTGGAAAATTAGTGTTAAATTGCAGTAGATTTCTACTATAATTGTACTAACAAATTTCTCTATTCGTCAGGCATATAGATATCCTTAGTCAGTTCAAGGTAGTAGCAATTAGCTGCCCAGAAATGTTTCTAATTGTTAGAGTCATGTGATTGCCCTACTAGCAAGGTAAGGAAATCTGAAACTATATTTCTTCAAGGTTTACTTTATTAGTTTGAATTATAATTTGATTAATAACTACTTTTATTATTTCATGGTCACTTGGTTAGATTGAGAGCTGAATACGGAATGATAAAAGATAAAATTTGAGGAGTCTATTAATGATTCATGAAAATCAAATCATACATTTTTGTATATGTCAGATTGTCTTGAACTTTTTTTTAAAGCATACAAAACATGAATATCAACTATGGTTTTTTTTAAGGAAATTAAACATACTTGCATTGAAGGGTTTTTTTAATCAGCAAGGCAAAAAGCCATAAAACAACACTTGTGCAAGTCTCATTAAAAACCCCCAACCTAAATGAGGGAAAAGAGTGCCTACACCTAAGAAAGAAAGAAAAAACTACACAACACCGAGAACTGAGATATCAAATAACAATAAACAAAACAGTGCCGTGCCAAACAAAACAGCTGTAAACAAAACAGTGCCAAACAAAACAGCTGACTACACCGAACGAGAAACAGCTGAACTAATCAAATATGTTCCAACTCGACCGGTAATGGAACTCGATTGGTAAGTTGAAGCTTCTTTGAATCCTAATATCAGCTTCGAATAGAGTTCCTTCTGCTATTAGCACAATCTTAAGTGCTGTAGTTTTTGCTCTTATAATTCAATATCTTAAAAGAAAGGGATATAAAGGAACCCCAAATGAAGGAGCTTGGGCAGATTGTTCTATTTTTATTTTCTTTTATGTTATGATCTTGCACAGATTGGGGTCAATTCTAGATCGTTAAAGTTTGTCCCTCCACCGTCTACCATGCCCTATTGCACATCATCAGAACTTCCCCTATACATCTAAAATGCCAAGGTGTGCTGTATAATTAAGTGATCTTCCTCGAACAAGGGTACTTGAACGAGCAAAACTTATATATATATATTTATATTTTAGTTTGTTCTTGTCAGCCTGAGCCTGAACTTCATGAAAGGGTCAGCTCAAGCTAAAACATATTTAGACATAAATATGTTCAGGCTAACAATCACAAGCTAAAACATAAAAATATATAAATATATATAAGTTCGTTTAAGTACCCTTATTTGAGGAAGATCACTTAATTCATACATTTCACCTTGACATATTAGATATGTAGGGGAAGGTCTGACGATGTGCAATATCATTAAAACAAGACTAGAAATCAAGGGCAGGTAGAAAGTGGAGGAATAAACTTTGACGGTTTAAGCATAGAAAGACCATAACATAAAAGAAAAAAAAGATATAACAATCTGCCCAAGCTCTTCATTCGGGTTCCATTATATCCCTTTCTTTTAAGATCTTGAATTGTAAGAGCAAAAACTACAGCACTTAAGATTAGGCTAGCAGTAGAAGGAACTCTATTCGATCTTGATAGAAGATCGAGTACAAAACTTATAATGTCTAAAACGAATAGAAACGTTCTAAATATTGTGCCGCAATGTGCAGTAATCTGCCAAAACAAAATTAATGTTATTATTCAAGCAACAATTGAATTTGGTTTCTTTGTTTGTGGATAATTTACCTTCGGATATAATTTAAAACACTAAAATCAAACAAAATTGATATCATACCTGTAGATGGTAATTGCAAGCCATGGCTCTTCAATATTTTTTTGCAAAAGTTTTTGACGTTGGTTGAGGAACTATAACAGAAGTGTTTATTATATAGATTTTAGCATGCTCCTATATAACTCTTGGGGTTGAAGGAGATTGGTTGAGGGATTGGATGAAATGGTTAGAAGTTAAATGCTTAGGACAAATCAGAAAAAGATCATGCAGCAGGGCTTCTGACCCTAGCCATTTATTATCATTTATTTTCTTTGAAATATAGTATTCCTGCACTGTTGTTAAAGATATCGGCTATGCCATTTTGGTATATTTGCAGAGTGTTATGTCATCAAAAATCAAAACGAATCTTTTGAGTAATAGAAGAGAGGAAGCATGGTTTATCCAATACGGGAATCATGTTTACTAAGCCTTTCCTGTTTCGAATATATCTTCCTAGAAATCCCATGAATTTTCCTTTATCTTATTGCCAGAAAAATGCCACCATTCTTTTTCCCATGTTTATATTTCATTTATGCCTTAGTGGAATAGGTGTTTCTTACTTTTCATGCCAGCTGCCCCCGTTTTTAATTGCTCTCTTCAATTTCTGTCTGCACCCCTTAGCAAAGCAATTGCCAGCTAGCATTAATGACAGCCTAAGCAAACTCTAATTGGCACACGCTCCATGCCCATAATTACAATGGTTAAGGTTATTTAAATGTTACATTTAATTATATTTTCTCTTAAGGTCCAATCGACACTTAAGGCCTACCAATAATAAGAAATTAATTTGTTACAATTTATAGACTATTAACACTAATTAATCTTTAAGGTTGTTTAAGTATGCAATGCAAGCATATTAACTTTTCTGAGAAGAATCATAATTGATATTCACGTGGGAATACTTTTAAAAAAAGTTTGGGACAATCTGACTTACAAAAATCATAAACAGGGATAAACTACAGACTGTCAAATTTTTAGGATCGATTTAATGAGAAGAAGATCATGCAGTGCACTGTCCCTATTATCTTTTCCATGCCAATTTATGTAGTATCAGCTTCTGCCCCTAATTTATTGATCATTGGTCGTTTGTTTTTCTTTTGAGATACATGTCTTTCTGAATTGAAACTGTAATATTATTAAAGATAATAACTAGACTATTTTGGTATATTTGTAGACCCCAATATTATCCAAAACTAAAACAAATCTTTTGGGGGGAAATCCTTTAAGTACTCTAAGTGGTTATTTATTTTAGGAAAATGGATCATGTTTGAACCTTTCAAAATGCATAACCACTAATAAATTTAAAATAAAAGATTTCTTTTTTTTTCCTCGACAATTTCATTTTATTAATAGTAAGACAACTTAAGTTTCGAGCCTCGTTAAAAACCTCCCTACTCTAAATGGAGGAAAAGAGTACTCAAAACTAGATAAAAGGTACAAATCAAAACAAGAACATCTCAACAGCCAATGAATATTAACAACTAATTAAGCTTGCATGAATTTATAATCACAAGTACATGAAATTCCCTTTGCATATGGCTCCTCCTACTCGAGATATATCATCAATCAACATTTGAATATTAACAAGTATACCACTCGTCCTATCAAACGTGAACAATAAATACTTTACTCTCTTTATAAGCTTAACACTTATCCGTCGAGTCAATTTCAATATCAATAAAATACCTATTAAGGTCTAAGTGACTTAAAGCAACAACTACTATAAATCATCTTCATCCAATGCTAGCACATTTTATTCACAATGAATTTGGTATATCTTTTACATAGCATGAATTTATACGCACACTTATCCAGGGATATCAACTGAGGTAACCGATCAAGTTTCGGGTCAGGTTAAATGGTATACAAGTTATGTCAGGTCAATTTAATGGTTCGACTCGAGTCAAGCATGGTCCAAGTCAACTCGAATTTGAGTTATTGTCAGGTTGATTTCAAATCAGACTCAGTTGAAACTCGGGTCAGGTCAATATCAATTCATATCAAAACGGTTCGGGTGT